TTGTAGGCCCTTTCCCCTAAGCATCCACTGCCAGCAGGTGTCAAGGCAGAGGATACTGCGTTGTGAACGACTGGACTGACCCAGGACAGTTCTGCTATGTTCTTCTAAAGCGTGTTGGTGTGTACCTCAGCTAGGTATTCACCGTGGGACCGGGGGTCGACTCGGGGACTGAGAGTGAAGGCCGAGTTGCAGTCCGTAATCTCACTGACCGAGCACAATGCTTAACTCCAATACTTTTCTTGCTTCCCATATTTGTTCTCTGTTAGGAAGACTACAGTCCTAATAGGCTGTATGCCCATCCTAGGTACTTCAAGTTTCACAGGGTCAGAATTGAGCTAAAAGGGTGGGGGACAAGGCGGGGAAGATTTCCATAAAATACACAAAATGGATGTTGAAGCTTTTTCTTTGAGCAGAATTTCAATTCTGTTCAGATGTGCCAACTAATACATGGTTTATAAAATAAAATGTATGCATCAAATTATATAGGTGTTTCTCCATTTCACACAATAGAAAATTACACTATTAATTACTAGAGGGAGTAAATGAACGGGATGAACACTCCTCGCACTGCTTAGTTTGGTTTTCTTTAGGCTGAAGCAGCTAAACTGGTTCCGATGGGTTTCACCACAGCAACAGAATTCCACCAGCGAAGGTCAGAGATCATCCAGATCACCACTGGGTCCAAAGAACTTGATAAACTTCTTCAAGGTAATAATTTTATTTCTGTTTATTGATCAACCTTCGTTATATGCTTGTTTTTTCTACAAACATGATCCTTGCACAAAAGCACGTAAGACACACAAGTTCTAGTTGAATGAAAAATCTCCGTAAGTACTGCTGTCTTGTATCACAATTGATTTTATTTTAAAAGCTGCAGAAATAGTTTTAAGACCTTTTGGCCATGATGCAATACCCAGAGCTTTTCACTTCGGATGTTTCTAGCTTGTTCTAGTCTGTGATTTATTTCAAGAAAACAAAACCAGGTATCGTCATCTCCCCATTCCTACTTGTAATCAAAAAATCAAACCAAGTCATTTCAGCTTTTCGGCGCCTTCAAAAATACACTCACCTAAACTTCTTATCTGCAACGTGAACAAACCTCAGTATGAAAACCAGTTTTTCCAATTAGAGTTTTGAAACTTTTAATGAAAGTAACTGTTTAACTAAGCTTCTCTAAATGTAACACTTTATACATGTGGTCTTTGTTTGCAGTATGTGACCTTTTTAATATTATTTATTATTATTACTTTTCCTTCAGGAGGAATAGAAACAGGGTCCATAACAGAGTTATTTGGGGAGTTTCGTACTGGAAAAACACAGTTGTGTCATACCCTGGCAGTAACCTGTCAAGTGAGTAGTCCACTTTATTAAAATCAAGTATTCAGGCAACACAGGTTTTGGATCTTTGCTAATTTGTGTACAATACAAATGTGATGCATATAAACATCTGCAAAGAATGCAGGTATTTTATTTGTTCGCAAAGAATCCTCAAAAGATTTGCAGCGCCCTTGGCTGTACTTGCAGCTTCTAGGATCTTTTGTTTCATGCCTGATCAGCCAACTAGGATCACCATAGCAGCAGTTAAATTTGTGATGTTTTTTGCCTGTATTTGACATGTTCTATAGCTGCTTTTTTGTTGTCAGAATGCTGAGGAGAAAAAAAATTTAACACATTATAATGCCTTGTAGCGTAAGTCTAGGTCTTAAATGCAGAGAAGTGCTGGATCTCTCTTCAGATGCTCTGGACTGTGGAGAACCTCTCTTATCTCCAAGAGTATTGAGAAGACAGAAGAAACTGTGTTGGGTTCAACGAGTTTCTTTGACTAGCTGCTTTGTTTTCCTAACCTATCCTCAGCTTACTTCACTTTACTTTTGTAAAAGCCTTCAGCTGGCTCTGGCTATCAAACAGTAGATCAGTTTGGAGTAACCTTTTTTTTAAATCTTAGTTTAAATGAATAACAGTGGTGTTTACTTTCTAGAGATTGCTATTTCATGAAATATTAGAGGCTGTGGGCTTAACTTCTTCATTTAGTTAATACTCTTATGCACCTAAGCCCCTGTCCTCTTATGTAGGTATCAGAGATTGAAAACGGGAATCTTTCTTCTCACTTTTCCCAGATAAATGTGACTTTAATCACAATAGCTTGGTATGTTATTTATTATGTGGTATCAGTTGAGGGCATAAGGCAATAACTGGATTATTTGTTGATACGTTATTTCATGTTCACTCATTTGCTCTTCCTTTAGCTTCCCATTGACCGAGGTGGTGGTGAAGGAAAAGCTATGTATATTGACACAGAAGGGACCTTCCGTCCAGAACGTCTTCTTGCTGTGGCTGAAAGGTCTGTACTTAGGGCTAGGAGTAAACTGGCGTTGGTTGAAGAAAAGAATACATTTACTCATGGGACAACTTGGTTAATAAGGATCACTGTGTAAATCAGCCTGCCCTTAAATTCACAGGACTGTTGCAGTAAGAGCTGTCTCTAAACAAACCAGCCAAACAAAAACCTTTCTGTACTTTCTGCCTTCCTACATGATGGTAGACCACTGCCTTAGCTGTATTTTATAAACAAACTTTCTAGTTTTACTTAGATATAACAGCATTGTGCCCTGGAATATGATGTCCTCACTTCTTACTAGTGTCTCTTTCAAATTCAGTTTTACTGCTAGTGAAATACATTCAAAGATTTTTCTTAAATTCTGCCAGTAGCGTTACCTTGAAACAAAGATGCTTTTGTAAAAAAGTTATCTCTACAGCAGCTGGAAAATTGCTGTTCGGAAATATGAGAGCATCCCCTGACCAGTTGAAAAGCTGTTTTCTCATCTCCTGCATCTATCTCAGAATGTTGTGATGTGGCTTTTATACTAATTGGAAAGTAAAACTTAATTACCCGAATAAGAATGCTGCTGTCTACACAGGTATTCCGGTTGGACTTAAAAGCCTGAAGTACTGGTTCTGTTCCTTAGAAAAAGGAGCTACTTCTGGTCTTGTGATTCTTCAGACTTTCTCAGAACTAAAACTGCTACTATGGGGCTGTTGGTGGTTGTTTCAATTAAATATCAGGGTATATATGCAACTTCAGTGAACTTGGGTTGAAGTATTTCTTTATCTTGCAGTGTTTATCAATCGCTGCAGTTACGTCAGCTTGGCCAGAAAAGCAGCCCAGCGCTTTGGGAAGGGCTGTGAAGCATGTCATACCTGACTGAAGTAGGAGAGACATTTTAAGGATGCTGAATGCAATTATTCAGATTGGAATCTGGGCCTAAGCTTCAGATTAACAATTTCACATATATGGTAGTTTTAAAAAATATTTCCACCTAGATACTGATCAGAAGTTTCATGTCAGTAAGCTGTGCGCTTTTTGTCTGGAAGTAATATGGTGACAAATATTGATTCTAAGCTGCAAGTCAAAATCATGCAGCAAGGCTGGGCTGATTTGAATACAGGGGCTCAGATGTTCTGCAAAGATAAAATCAATTGGCCTGTTTTCTACTACACCTTTGCTAGTCTGATTTAGGCTGACAGTTTTTCAGGCTGTGCATGTGGGGGTTTTTAAAGTATTTAAAAAATTTTTGTACAAATTTCCTAGCTTAAAAAGCAGCTGCCCTCCTTTTTTTTTACCATGCATTTATAGAAGCAAGACTTAGTTGTCAAGTAACTGTAGTGCCTTCAAGCAGTACTTCAAGGCCTGGCCTATCATTATAGGTGTTTCCTCTAAAGTTTCTTTGTTTTTACCCTTCATCGTTCCTCAGCATGTATTTTTTTTTCCCATTAAGTTTGTTGTTGTTGTTGGGTCGTTTTTTTTTTTTTTCCCAAGACTCCATGTGACCTGTTAGGCAAAGCTGCCTTCCTTCTGCTTTAGGCTGATTTCACGGTATGTCTGCTTTGTAATCCCACGCTGCATAGCCAACGGTCTCTCTGGGGTGGAAACTTCAGGTGGTTTAATGAGGCTGGATTCTGCGCCGCTGCAGGCGGTCCTGCCGGTCCCTTGCCCCGCGGTGCCGGCGTTAGCGCCTGCTGGGCTGTAGGCTGAAGCAGAGCAGCTGCTAATGCGCTTCGCCGCAGGGCAGCGTGAATTGCTGGTGCTGGAGCAAAGGAGGGGACAAGAACGAGCGGCTGGAAGCAGAGAGAATGAAAGGATGGGGCCGCTGCTTTTTAGCAGCGCCACAGATTGGAGGTGAGGCCACTGTGTATGGGCCTTCCCATGACTGCAGGTAGAAAAATCAAGTAAGGGTTAATACCAAACCAAAATGACGTGCTAGCCCACAAGAGACACTTCCTTTTCTTTATAGAGGGAGATGATCTAATTGACATACTGTCCTAAATGAATGGGGTACGGTCAAGTTACTGAAAAATAGTAAGCTGAAGATTTGGGTCAGTACTGGATTTGGATGGTTTGTTACTGAAAGGCAAAAAAAAAAAATCTTTGGAAGAGCTTTTACACAGGTCCTGGAGGTTAATTTGACAGATGTTCACTTTGAAAACATCTGGTACTGCTATTCCTCTCCTCCCTCTCTGCTGCTACTCTCTCCCCACAGCTATTGTGTAATTGTCCCTCTGCAGGAGGCGATCTCCCTCACTTTTTTGCTACTGGAAGGGAATGTGCACTTCTTAATCACCTGGGGACAGTACCAACCAAATCCTGTTAGCTCTCTTTGAAGACAATTTGATCTAACCCTGCTGGCTTTTCCCGCAGCAAGTAGAAGGAGTACTTCAAAGAGTCTGCAATTCTGTGAAGTATGTTGTAGCATGAAATGAAAAATGAGAACAAATTACGTATGTTCTCTCTCATCGGAAAAAACATTACTACAGTTCAGATCCAAGGAGGATAATCAACTGGTTCTCCAAATTCTAAGGGATTTCCCAAAGTGCCATATAAATAATTTAAATGCAAGATGTTGAATGTAACTTTTTTTTTTAATTTGGTAGTAAAACACTGACAGAGGTGTTGCAGATGGAAGGCTGTTTATCACTGGTTTTTATTAGCAATATACTGCTTTCAGAATATTCTGTTCCAGAACGGGAGCTTTCCTTGCCTGTTTTATTTTGAGGAAAATGTCTGGTGTTCCATTTTGCTATCGTTCCTAGGCAGGAAAATATTCTTTAAAAATGTTTTCCTGTCATTCTGTTCTCTTTTCATCACCAAGTTGTTTTGCATCTTTTGCTGTCTGTTTTTTGTCTCTAAGACTCTCCCAGGAATGTGAATCTTTATTCTAGTCTTTAGATAAACCTGCTAGATAACTCCTATTGATGAAGTTGTCGCTTAACAATTTTTTTTTTCTTCACTGTTTTCTCCAGGTATGGCTTGTCTGGCAGCGATGTCCTAGATAATGTGGCGTACGCTCGGGGTTTTAATACAGACCATCAGACCCAGCTCCTGTATCAGGCATCTGCTATGATGGCTGAGTCACGGTAATAAGACTGATATAGATGGAGTGATTTTTGTGCCGATATATATTTGTATTATAAAGCTACCTGGAGATGATGAACAAGTGCAAGAGAAGTATAGGTTACAAAATTGTGAAATGACAAAGTAAATGTTTACTTCAAAAGTTAACTTTTTTGCCATGCATTTGCTTTCTTTAGCGCTTAGCTCTGTTAGATCAGGTTTTGTTATTCTCAAACTGGATTATGCTTTGGCGTATCCAGGTAATAAGCTTGGTTTGTCAGCAGCCAGTTGTGAGTTGATCTCTCTTGCTGTTGAAATGTTGGATGACAGTGACTGACTTGAACTGCAACAACTGAAGTTACTTTACAAAGAACAAGTTTTAAAGATCAGTTTATAATTGCTTTCAGAAATAGAAGTAGAGAGTGTTGAGTTAGAGCGTGCCAAGCACCGAAGAAACCTGTGCAGACAGCTTTTGTTTGAAACTGAGTTTTATGGACCCTGTTAGAGGGAAGGAAGTGGTGGTATGAGGTGTGTAGGAACCTGTCCACAGAATGTCTGCGGTGTCAAAACATTTGCATTCTGGGCTAGTTTGTAAGAGTACAATAAATCTAAGTTTTCAATCCTGCAGCAACTTTCTCTGGGTTTACTGGGCTTTATTATATAGGTAGTAATCCGAACATTACAGATTAAATCAGGGTTGTTAAAAATAGTAATTCTGCTAACCGGCAGGTTGAGAGGAGCTTACATCCACGTCTCTGTGCAGCCGTACCATTTGCTGGATGCTGTGGCACTCCAGTGGAGACATTTTTCATGCCTGGAAATGTTTGTGAGAACCTTGTACTTCTCTGCCCCAGGTATGCGCTGCTGATCGTGGACAGTGCCACAGCCCTTTATCGGACGGATTACTCGGGGAGAGGTGAGCTGTCAGCTAGACAGATGCATCTGGCCAGATTTCTGCGTATGCTTCTTCGACTTGCAGATGAGGTAAACTATGAAATTTGCTGTATTCTCTTAAAGGACTGGTGATCAGTTTTCTTTCTCTTGTTAAGGTTAGCAATTCTGTGCAAATGGCTTTCTGCCCGCTCAGTGTCTGCTTCCATTTTGTTCTGAGGCGCATGATAGAGTGGTTATAGGCAGCAGAGGGGGCAGCAGAAGTGCATGCATGTCTCTCTTTTTTTTTTTTTTTCTTTGTTTCCCTTTTCCTTCATTCAGATTGTGGGAAATAAATTTATTTTGATTTGTTGCTTTTCTCCTTACAGTTTGGTGTGGCAGTTGTGATCACTAACCAAGTGGTAGCACAGGTAGATGGAGCAGCCATGTTTGCTGCAGATCCCAAAAAACCTATTGGAGGAAATATCATAGCACATGCTTCCACCACGAGGTGAGAGGATAGATTATCATTCCCTTAGCCTTGTTTTGGAAGATTTTGTGAACTAGCTAAGTACCATTAAATTCTGGGTTCCTAGATAGTCTGTCAAAGGCGAGCCCAGCCTGCTTCTCAACACGGCACCTGCTGCTTAATCTGCAGTAAAATCAACACAACATTTTCCATTCTTACAGCTCCACGCTGTGCTGTGTTCATGTACCAGCGTAATGTTTTAATGAGCGTGATGATGGTTCACTGAAAGTAGGCTGTACACCCTTACCTGTTTTGTTTCCTTCTCCCTTTTAGACTGTATCTGCGAAAAGGCCGAGGTGAAACCAGAATATGTAAAATTTATGACTCTCCTTGCCTTCCTGAGGCTGAAGCAATGTTTGCTATTAATGCTGATGGCGTGGGAGATGCTAAAGACTGAAGACTGCATTTCATTTCCCGTGTAACCCAAGGCTAGGTGTCCGTAAAAGGCTTCTTTCTTTGTAGCACCTTACAGATGCTTTCCCAACGCAGCTGGCGGAGGAGGCCATTGTAGAGAAGTCCATCAGGTGAACACACTTTGAGACACGTCTGGAGGTGTTGCTTGGAAGAGATTACCCTCTTGGGCTTTAGTCACATGTTAGATTTAATGTGGTTTCTTGAGAACGTTTTCAGGTGACCATAGCCTTTGTATTTTCCTCACAGCTATTGCTCCAGCTGGATTCCACCGGTGGACGTAGCACAGTAAAATCTAAGAGTATGTGGCCATAGTTCGTAGCCTGATGAATTCGAAGTAGCGTTGATGGGTTTGTCAAACAAGAAAAGTGGTGACTTAAATACTTAATGGGTTGCTTTAATTATAAAATAAAGCAGAATGGTATTCCACGATAAGAATTTGAGGATACTGCGGGGATTGATGGTGATCGCAGTCCATATTCTTTGTTAATTTTGGTTTGGATGCTGCAATGTGCTGGTTCTTGGGAACTGTTAATTTACACGTCAATTTGTATTTCGTTAATTCTCTGGAAATCTGCTTTTAATAAAAAGGACCATGAAAATACTGTGACATTACAGGTTTCTGGGGTTCAGCTAGGTGTTAATTCAGACCAAGGCATTTTTTTATCTGCAGGTGAAGGTAGGAAGATGATGTATAAATCATCAGTGAATCTCAGTCTGGATTTTTTTTTTCTCCTGAAGCTAATAAAATGCATCACCTCCTTGATGTGCAGTGCAACTGTGCTCTAAGTGCCCTGCAGCTGTCTTCTGACGTTTTTGAGGTTAAAGAGGTTCTTTTATATTATGCAGTATTTTTATATAAGCTATGCTATTATGAACTACTCTGAACTTGATTAAAGAGAATAATATCATAGTGGTGGTTGGCAGCAAAAAATATTTTCCTCTTTCTTTTTCTCTGGGACAATTTTTCTGGGACAAATAATGAAGAATACATACAGTGGGACCCAACTGTCTCTTACAGGCTAGCAGGCATAAGCTACATTTATTTAGGTACATAAATACTTGTGTGATATTGACTACTCAATCTGATGGGGCGGTAGGTTGTCTGCTGTCTCATCCATAGCTCATTGCCTTTGTTCTTAAACTCTGCATAGGCACGGAGCGCCCGCTGTTTCTCTTCAGACGGTGTGGACAGAAGGCGGTTGCTGTCACCGCTGCCAGCAGCTGAGTTTCAAGAATTAAAATTCACATTTAAAATGTTAACTGGGACATTAAATCGGGGTTGAACTCATCAGTAAGGAACGCAGGGGCCGTGGTGCTCCCCGTAGGTTACTTGGCTCAGGTGCGCGAGGGGAAAACCACTGAGGGAGGTTTCTGCCAGGACTTCAGAAAAGCGAAAACTAGGACGGGCTGGGAAGACCGGCTGAGCAGCGGCAGCAAGTGAAGGGAGGAAAACCAGGCCAAGCAAATACGAGGAGGGGGACGGGGGCCTTGCTGGCCAAAGGGACAGCGAAAGGGAGCAGAGGCTGAGGTGACGCTGAGAACTGGGGTGAGAAGCAGCGCAGAGGGAGAGCTGTGGAGCACCGCTCGTGCCCAGGCACGTCCCGACTCCGGCGTGTGCCCTTGGCCACGTCTTCTTTAATGTAACCCCGTGTAATATGTTTTCAGTTGCCCCTAATAAAAAATAGAACATTAAAACCTTATTTCAAATCACAGATGAGCTTTAAGCAATCTGAGTATGAACTTTTAATACCCTTAACAATTCCACGAGGGCCCGAAGGTTAAAAGAAGCGTTTCTGGTCAGGGCCGGGCGCTGCCGGGCGGGACCATTGCCTCTGCTCTGGAGAGCAGCGCCGGTGCTTCCTGAACCGCGCTCCTGCCCGTCCTCCCAAGTGTCCCAACTCCGTTATTTAGTATGAAGGCTTGAGGGTACGCGGCTGCGGCGCTGGCGTGGCTTCCAGCCACCAGCCGGGCCGGGGGGGCTTTGGTGGTTAAGCCCCTGTGTGAACACGTGTAAATGGCACTTGAGGGGACGCTGATCGGCGCGGATTGCTGCTTTCGCCTACACCGGCACTCAGAATGTCACCTTTTATCTTCTGCTCTCTTGCCTCTCTCCAGCGAGAGGGAGTTTTGCCGTGCCTGTCCCCTCGTTCTCTGCTGTTCCTGTCTCTTTGGATTATACAGCGTTAACGTACAATCCAACAGAACTTCTTTTTTCCCCTCGCCTTTTAAAAGTCCGCTTAGGACTTTGAACAACCAAAATTACATCTGAAGTCCTCTCTGCTCATGTAATGCTCAGCATGGAAACCCCTTTGCCTCGTAGCCTGCAGTACTGCTCTCAGCTAGCTTGAGTGGGAGAGCAAAGGTGAAGAAACTAGGAAATACCTGTTCCTCGTCTCTAAGCTCTTACAGGGCTCAGGCTCTGAACTCGGGGGGGATTTGGGGGATTTTCTGTTGTTTCTTTTAAACACAAGAACCTTTTTCGAAAGATCTTTCTCAGCTCATCTGATGACATCCCTGTAGCAGCTGCACAGGCAAGTGTTTGCATGGAGGGTTTAAGTTGCTTATGATGCAATTCCATGAAACGCTAATTAAACAAGCTCATTGCCAACATGGCTTTAACCTCAAGGAGGCATAATTAATATTCCTTTAGGAAACATTTTTCCTGCTGTCTCCTTGAAATACTTCTCTCGACGTTTCCCCAAAAAGTTCCTCCCAGGGCAGCGGGCGACGAGTAGAAATCGTGTTCACTCCTCAGTCCTGAAGCGCTTCCGGGCGCGCGTTTGCGCAAGCCCCTGGCTCGCCTTCGTCCAGCCACCTTTGCTTCCTTTGGACCCGCGTCTAGAGGTGAAGAGGAAATGACCACCGACCCGAAACGTGCGCGGACAGACGTGCGTTACCCTGAGCTACTCACGCTCTTGTCGGAGCACGAGGGAGACGGAGCTGCGATGTTTTGTTTCCACGTTTCCCTTGAGCCTTGCGTGCGGCTCCGAACAGTTGTCTGCTTCGCCGCCGCTCCTGGGCTCTGCCCAGTTACCGGCCGCGGGGGCTCTGCCCACCCGCGGCTGCATCTGCTTTGAATTTCCGGAGGGGCTGGCGATGCGATCGGCGACGCAACTTGCGTTTCGTACGCCAACGCAAAACCCCCTCGTAACACGAGCGCGAGGAGCGAAGCAGGGCTCGCCGTTGGACGGACCCCAGCGTAGCGTCGCGCTGGGAAACGTTCCCGTGTTTTCTTTAGAGGAGAGCAGCCACCCCTCGTAACTCCATGCGTCTTGCTCGTGCGCGGTCGGCGAAGGTTTCCCAACTACCCGGCTTCAGAAGCAAATGCTCAACTCGCGCGGCCGCGGTGGCGCGAGTGCGACGCGCTGCCGGGTGGCTCCGGTTCTCCCGTCTTGTTCGCCTTGCAAATGCCCAAACCCGCGGCCTGACGACAGCGCTTCCCCGGGACGGGGAGGAATCCTTGCCAGAGGTCACAACCCGGGCTGAAAACAAGCGCATCTTTGCGTATGGTCGCCCCGTGCCTCGGTTTCCCCGCCGAGACCCGAGGTCACCGCGTCAGCCTACGGCCACCCCGTACGGCCCGTGTTGCGCTAGCCGGGGAGGAGAAAATCGGCCGGCGGTAGAAGTGCCCAAAGTCTAAGGAAACACTTAGTTATAGCTTGAGTTAATTAAACTACACAAACTTGTGCTTGAGTTTGTCATCACGCTGCTGACCTTGGCCGATGGCGCGTATTACGCTTGGCGGCGGCGGTTTTCCTCGTCAGATCAACGTGCGTTTGCGCTACTGAAATGCGGCTTTAATACTCCAGGGACAAATCGTCGACTCCTGCTGTGACTGCCGCGGCAAGACGCAAAGGAGGTTGTAATGACTGTGGCCTTGAGGCTTCACATGAATGAAGACGAACAGTAAAACGGGGGGAACGCTGCGGCTTGAAGGTACATCCAGAATATTTAGAGCGTCTCAGCAGAACCTAACGCGAAGCCAAAGGTCCCGTCACCAGCCTGAGAGCACCGGGAATGTGTTTATTGTCCCTGCGCAGCAGATGACAGCAGGTTGGCCTTCTGGTGCCCTGGAAGGTGCTTGGGTGTTGAATGGATTTGGGGGAGGTGCGGGGGGCAGAAGTCGGAGGTGACGTACCTTCACACCCTTGCAGAAGACTTCACATTTCACTTAAAATCATGCATTTTTATCAAACTAGTTGTATTCTACTGCTTCTTAAGTTTACCCTGAGGATTTTTATTTTTCTTTAGCAGAAGCTTTTTTGTAAGACGGCTTCACCGTACTTGTTTCTTTGTCCGTATTTTGTATAAAACATGACCCTTTCATCACTGCTGGTCCATCACATATTTTAAAAACACTTAAATCTGCTGGAAAAAGATAAAAGTACAATTGTGTGCCCATCTCCACACCGCCCCCCCCAGGGAAAGGCTTCGCTCCAGTGAAAGCTCTGAACCAGCCTGGCTGGTCGGACCTAATGAGCTCCAGCTCTGCTCCAGCTTACGACCATCGAACCCATCCTGTCGCTGTGGGGTCGCGTGCCACGTTCCGCCTCGGGCAGAAAAGTGAAATGAATATTATTAACATTCAGTTAAACCAGTCTTGGGACAGAAAGCACAACACAAGTCCACTTTCTGTATGCTTTGCTCCGTGGCTTGCTTAAGTAACAGGTTTCGATGCTTGAGTGCACGAAAGGGGGAAAAGCGCAGCAACCACGGTGCTGCACAGAGCACCTGGGCGGCACGTGAGAGGCTCAGATGATGGTCACGGTGAGCAGAAGATGGTCATGGTGAGCAGACGGTGGTCATGGTGAGCAGAAGGTGGTCATGGTGAGCAGACGGTGGTCATGGTGACCAGAATGTGGTCATGGTGAGCAGACGGTGGTCACGGTGAGCAGAAGGTGGTCATGGTGAGAAGATGGTCATGGTGAGCAGAAGGTCGTCATGGTGAGAAGACGGTCACGGTGAGCAGACAACCTGCCTGATGGGAAGGGGAAGCTCAGAGCTGCCAGTGCCAGACCACACTCCTGCCAGAAAGGCCAACCTTGCGGAGGTTTAGGGTGAAGCCTGGGAGTGCCAGGACTTCCAAGTGGATGCACCAAGCAAAGCGAGAAGGAGAGCAGGTTGTATTTACAGCTGCAATAAAAACCCGAGTACTCAACCACTGCCAGAAGTGTGTGCATTTGTCAGAGGGGTTAGGGGTGCTGTAGGTGTTGAAGGACCCTGTAGGTCCGGGGAGGTTGGGCGTCTGGCAAGGCTAACGAGCAAA